TATTACTTTTACCAAATAATTACAACAGTATTTCTACAATCAGGAGAAAGTAGAGATTTTGTGATTTCGATGACCCCAACACGCATTTCTGTGTCACACACATTCTCTCGAAAGATGTTGACCTTTGATTTTACTGAAACAAGGTTTGGACTTGTTTTTCCTGAGACACCTTTAGACTACTACAACCAAAGGGTTGACATTTTACAGCAGAAATCCTCTCCTCACATCAGAGAACCATACTTTCCCGTAAGTGTAGTCTCTCTCACAGCCTCAATAATAATAATCCTTTGATAAAGCACCTTATCACGTCTTTGAGACACCTCAAAGTGCTTCACAGAAAGTGTATATTTTGGGGCGAAACGCGGAAGCCAATTGTATACAGCAGCATCTCACAAACAGTCGGGGATTGTGTGACATTAATATTTTTTAATTTCAAATTCTTTTTGAAGGGATTATTAGCCCCTGAAAAATAATCCGCCAATCAACTAACAACCGGGTTCCTACTCACTGCCAGGTAAACAGAGGCGTGTGGAGTAAGGAAACTTGCCTGAGGTTTTGCCCTGACTGGGAATCGAACCCGGTCCTCTCGCTTGCGTGACAAGTGTTCTAACCACTGAGCTACAGGATTCCACAGAACTCGGTGCAGTCTCTCTGGTGACAGATTGTGATGTGATCCCCACAATATAACAAATGGGACCTTTTGTGTGTTATGTTTTTAGTCGCCCGGGTATCTGACACTCACGGAAACCCACTCTGGCTGCCATGATCTCCTACAAAAACAGTCACGACACTTTACAATCATTAATGATGGAAACTACACTTTACGGTAAAATCCTGTGAAGAGCTTTGGGACATCCTCCCGATGGTGTATCAAATGCAAGTCCAGTAAAACTCACTAAGTCGTATCAGTCGGGACTATAACATTCGATATGACTTACAGTCTGAATTAGGGGCAAACTGTATAAGTCATGTCAAATATGATTTAATCAATAATCTACACTGCAACCAAGTAATTACTGCAGTCGGTAAGTGCACATGTGGTGACGTTTCCCGTGAAGCGCAACCGGTAACTGAGGACTAATGGAAGGCGGGGAACAGGGTTATGAGTTGCAGATGATTAATACAACTTGTGCAAATAAATCTAAGTGGTTTTGATAGGAACCTGGAAGACACTTGGGTGAATTTACAACTTAATAATAATACGGTAACCAGCTTTCTCCCGACTTGTCAATAAGGTAAAATTACATTGTCGACGATTTTATTAACAGTTTTATTAACATTTGTGACCAGATTCAATGTCAATTATAATCCTCAAAACTGTACAAGCCGATAAAACACTGAACCTTCGAGACGGCCGGAGGCTCTGGCCCTGGCTAACTCTTTCCCCCTCGAGAACAAGGAGCTCTGACCCCACCCCCTCCCTCGTGACATCCTCACCGGGGGAAGGGAAGGGGAAGGAGAGAAGAGAGATATTTTGGCTCAGTCACTTAGTTCTGGACCCACTCAGGAGTTGGAGCTCACAGTCCAATTTAACGCTCTGACACGGGGCCTGAATACACTATTCCCTACCCCCCCCTTTCACTACTCATCCCTTACTTGCCCCCACGCCCCCCGGGAAGCGAGGGCCCAGACGCTGAGTCAGACAACGGAATCCAGCAGCGGAAACACAGGCGAGAGAACTCCGTAATTACTCAGCTCAGTAACACACAAACCTCCAGATCTTAAGTCTGAGGGCGAGAGACACAGGCAGACAGAGGGACAGACAGAGGGACAGACAGAGGGACAGACAGACAGAGCGAAAGACAGACAGACAGACAGACAGACAGACAGATAGACAGAGCGACAGACAGAGCGACAGACAGAGCGACAGACAGAGCGACAGAGCGACAGACAGAGCGACAGACAGAGCGACAGAGCGACAGACAGAGCGACAGACAGAGCGACAGACAGAGCGACAGACAGAGCGACAGACAGAGAGACAGACAGAGAGACAGACAGAGAGACAGACAGAGAGACAGCAGACAGACAGACAGACAGACAGACAGACAGACAGACAGACAGACAGACAGACAGACAGACAGACAGACAGACAGACAGACAGACAGACAGACAGACAGACAGACAGACAGTCTCCCCACTGTGACGGAGCGAGAGGAGCCTGGGTGGCGATGCCGAGTTGACACAGACTGAAGCAGAGACACGATGGTCAGTGTTGGCCGCGGTGACATTCTCCGGACCAGTGGTTCAGTTGAGCCGCTTCACCATGTAGGGGCCCTCCAGCTCATAGCCCAACTTCCTGTAGTAATTCCTGGTCCCCACACCTGAGAGACAAAACACAAGATGGATATTGAATGAGAGAGGGAGGGCGGGAGGGAGGGACTCAGGGATGGAGTTCCCGAGAGTCGGATAGAAAGAAAACATAACAAAACTCTTCCAGATAAAATAATAACCATTAAAAGTGAGGGAAGAAACCGAAGTATGATAAAGAGAGAAGGAACAGAGAGAAAGCCATCTGTCCGCACAGCTCAAGGAGCTCAGGGGTAGACACTCTGATGCTCTCTATTTGCCAGAGAGACATTGCGAGTCAATGAGGGAAGGAATGACTATCAGTGGGTTATCAGTGCGGCATCGCTCACACTGCAACAGGTTGGAGCACCTCACCAGGAGCCAGTGACCACATCGCTCCTCTCCCTCCCCCCACCCCAATCCCCCTCTTCCCCTCTCCCTTGCCCCTCTCACCTCCCCTCCATACCCCTCTCCCACCCCCCTTCCATAATAATAATCCTTGCATTTGATAAAGCGCTTTTCACGTTTTTGAGATGTCTCAATGCGTCTCGAAGATGTGAAGCAGCAGTGGCCCACAAACACTCGTGGATTGAGTGACCAAATTATTATTGTTTTTTTCTTGAGGGATTATTATCAGGCGTGTGGAGTAAGGAAACTTGCCCAAGGTTTGGCCCGGCTGGGAATCGAACCCAAGTCTCTCACTTGTGAGGTGAGTCCTCTAACCACTGAGCTACAGGGACTCCAAAAAGGCTCCAATTGCTGGGATAACGTGCAAATAGAGGACGTCTTTCTCTGTCTTTCCTCTCCCTATGTTTTTTGCTGTTTGGTTAGGGCAGCCGGGTGTCTGACACGTGCGGAAACCCATGACTGTGTTTAAGACTATCCAAACCAAGCTGAGAATTCCATATCCCACCTGCACATGGACATTCCTCTTTCTTTCCTTCATTCTCTCTCTCTCTCTTCCTTGGAAACATCCCAATGATTCAGCCTCGTTGGCCTCTCACTGGAGCAACATAAGAACATGAGAATTTCCTGGACGAAAGAAGACCCAGATCCATCTAGTTTGCCTTCCACCGTCCTGGCAGTGACATGTCGCGTCCCAAACTATACCCCGTATCGTGAGATGTTATTTCCTAACAGAAATCCATCTCATTTGTACTTTCTGCTTCCACCATCTCCCTGTTCCACACGTTTACTACTCACTCACTGAAGTACTGTTTCCGCAGTTTTCTGAATTTATTCCCCTTCAATCCCAGGCCGTGTCCTCGGGATCTACTGTTCAGTACAAGATAAAACAGCTTACCATGGTCTACGTTATCTAGTTCCTTCAGGACTGTAATCATATCAGTCTCGACTGAACTCAAAACCCTGACATGGGGTTTGAACGCACAACCTTGTGACTCAGGTGAGACTGAACCAGGTCAGCACTGCTACAAGGGGTTAAAGATGCGGGAAGGGTTGACTTGTTGAGG